GCACCCACTAGTGACTTTAGTCTGGGACATTAATTGTGGAGCATAAACCTCTAAAGACGAACTTTTCGTTTCACTGAAAACCAAGACATTAAAAAGCAAACAAAACGCGGCGTAGTGTCGAGGACCTTCGGCGCCACAAGCCGGGCAGATGCTGAGATGAAGTCACATGACCTCTGAAGACACAGGAAGTGGATTTAAACGTCAGATTGTGACGTTAAGACACTGATGAGTCTTTACACTGGCACAGTTTACAATATACGTCGCCCTGCTTTAAGTATATTGCATTGGTTTGGTCAACGAGCATTTTACTACACAAGCGAGGCCACTTTTCCAAAGCCAAAACAACATCAGGCTTCGTCACTGTTATCTCAAATTATTCCCCGTGAGATGGAGGGTTCGAGGGTCAAAGGTCAGGGTCACAGAAATGTAACAGCTTTTCATGATATTTCCATCAATCTTGAAAAAGAAAAAAAGGTTAAAGGTCAAACATCCAATAACAAAGTATTAAGTCACGTCTGAAGCCTTTTAAAAAAAGGCATTTTCGCCCAAACACCTTTAGTAAGTGGATGTGAGTCGATCCAGATCCTTTAGGATCCTAAGAACCAGCGGGCGGGACATGGAGACACGGTTGTACCCGTTCAGCGGGCGTTCTTATCCCGGAGGCAGGTCACGGCCTCGCTGAAGGACACAGATTACACAGCACTCAATTGGCTCCGAAGACACCTTTTAAAAGGGGTAAAAAACACACTTTCTGGGACAGTAAAGCTGCCAGGAAACCGTCTGCGGTCTTTATAAAGTAATCTTCGACACAATGGGCTCAGTTTGGTGACAGAGAAACATGTTGTTTTGGCCAGTGACGTTAACAATCGGAGAATGAGCCCAAACAAACCAGAAACACGCTGAATTCTCCAGCAGATGGTTTGGAAGGAAAAAACACATTTATACCGTTCGGTCTGTGCCGGGGATCACAAAGTCCACCAGTAGCGGGCAAACACGACAATGCAAACCGCTGACAGGCCGTTGTGACCTGACGGTGAAGTGGACACTGTTCTAGAAAACACACGCGAGACCCCGTGGATTACACCAGACAAAAAACACCTCCACATAATCGATAAAGATACCCTATATGATCACATGCCTCTCGTGTAACACCCACGTGTATATTTCATAGGAAATCAATCGTTTTCCCGACTAAGCCGTGCAGAAGCCCCGGTGACTCCAGCCTAACTCAGCCCGTTAGCTCTCGTGCTAGCTGTCGCTAGCCGGGCGAACGCGCAGACCGGAGCCCTGACAACAGCCACGCGACCCGACATCCGGGGTCTAAACCCCCGGACGGCCAGAGGGCCTCACGCAACTCCGGGTTGGGCCCTGGATGTAGATCTTAAGTTCGTGTGGATGCTTAGCCAGCCAGCTAGCTAGGCTAGTTAACTGTGAGCTAGCTAAGCTAGCAGCGCCCCATGCCTTTCTCTCGGGGAACACGTGGAGTGGACACGTGACGCCCCACAACAAGCCTGCTGCTTCTTAAACAATATATTAAACAGTCCGATGCTTCGTGTTCTTTGTGATCTTTAAAGTCGCTTTTATTTTTTAAGTTGACATTTTCTGCCAAAGCACCGCTAGCAGTAATGTGGCTTAGCTAACGTCTGAGGGAGGGGGGCGGCTCGGCGACGCAGTAGGCCAAAAAAGGGACTCTTCGTGCTATTGTTAGCCGGCTAACACGAGCTAAAGCGAGCTGCAGCTAGCTACCGTATCACAGCCGGGACAAACTCATGGCTCCTTTTACGTTCTTAGAATGGATGACGTGTTGCGAGGAGAAACGCACGTAAACAGTCGCTTGTCTAGGTAGGTAAATGACAGGAACATTTGTGTTTAAGGTAACTGCAGATGACACGTTTCCTGCATTAAAAGCACATTAAACGCTGGTAGTACAGCTGTTAGAACGGTTTATGCCGTTCGGTTATTAAAGTGGCCGTTGAAAGGCGTGTGCAGCCACTGCCCGGGCATGTGACACGTATATTTACATTTTTGGGGTAAATAAGTTGGTGCATTTATCTTATGGGTGTATTCCTAAACGGCTCCTCGACTCCAGGTATAGCCACACCGGGGGGGGGGGTCCCTTTCACTCCGAACATATCCAGCCTGCAGACCGGGCATGTTCATGCACTTTCTTAGTTACAAGTTAAATAAAACGCCATTTGACCCGCTTCGCATTAAACACGTGACAGCTGCTTGGTCGTCTCGTGCGACCACACCTGGCCGGCCGGCCGGACGGACAGACACGACACAACACTGACAGCCGGTACGCACCGTGGTGTGCTTGCCCGTTGACGCTGACCACGGTGACCGCGTTCATCTTCTTGGTCCACGGGTTCACCTTGGGCGGGGGGGCTTCGGTGAACTCCTTTCGGCTTTTTCCGCCGTTGTCGTCCTCCTCCTCCTCCCCCCGGTTGGAGGTCCGTTCCTCCGGTTCGGGGGTCCCTCCCAGCCCGGGGCTGCCGCCGCCGCCGCCGCTCCCCGGCTCGGCGACACCGGGCGCCCGCCGCTCGGGCCCCCCCTCGTCTTCCTCCTCTTCCTCCTCCTCAGCCTTCTTCGCCAGCGGGTTGCCGGGCAGGAGAGCCTCCCACCTGAGTGGCCATTTCCCACCGCCGTCTTTCTTCCCCCTTCAGGATTACCAGTCCTCCACACGCTCACACACAACCCCACCCCCTCCCCCCTTCTCCTCCACCACCACCACCTTCCACCGGGCCCGACTTCGCCTTCAATTTCACGGAAACGCGGCGTAGTTTCCGCGGGGGTTCGCCGCCCGGACCGAGAGACCTGCGGCGGGAGACGGCGACGAAGTAAACCGCGTTGGGAAACAAAGAAGAACGCGTCGCGGGGCCTCGCAGGATTACAACGGTATCTCCGCCGCTAGCTGCAATATGGATGATCCCCACCACGCGATGCAGGGGCACGCGCACGTACCGGGAGGGGGAGTAGGCACGTAAAGACGGGAGCGCGCCTCGGGTCGAGATGCCGCGTTCAGGTGCTTGCTCGCCGTCGAGACTTCCGACTAAAAAGTGTGTTTAGCACTAAATGTGTGAGGGATGGAGAGGAGATATTTGTGAGGTTATGGGTTTAGGTTACTTTGACACGAGACATGAAGCCGCCAAGGTGTCAAAGGTTACTCATAATGAACCCTATTAAGTATAGTTTATTGTTGTGTGAATAATATAATATGATTAATATCACTAACACGCACCATTTTAAAGCTGAATGTCCTAATATGCAATATATTTAGTACAGCTGTCAAAAAAATATGCTCTAAACACCTTTTGGAGTCAAAGTAATTATATGTTTAAGATGCAACGACCAGAAACGAATAAAACAAGTAAACAACAAACGTATTTCATTTATTTCACCTTTCACCGCATTTTCTTGCTTACTCAGTGTAGTTGTGACGATGAATAAGATGTTTCCGATGGACGTGAACGCAGCACGGAGCCCCCGCGATGACGTAATCTTGCCCTCTGACCGCGTCGTCACTGCGCCGCACTAAAAGCGTCTGTAGTTTCTCTACGAAACGTTGTGCAGGCGACTCAACGCCGCCGCCACCGCGTGCGTTTCACGTTAACCAGTTTGATCGTAATATATCGATCAAAGTGCTGCAAGAAGCACTGACCCCCCCCAACCGATCCACCCCCCCCCCTCCCCGGGACCCTCCATGCTACCGTTACACACGTGTAAGCTCACGCTGCTTCACATGTTTCACCACAACACACTTGTGTACGTGTCACACTCTTGAGTATCACCGACCGGCAGCGTTGTATTTGTACTCTTCCACGCTGATACAAACTTGCTTGAGATCCTTTAAAATATATATTTGTAATATATTTTTGAATCAAGCCAGGCAAGTCTTTGTATAAAATACTTATTTTTGTACAAAATAATTGCATTTTTCAAGCAACTTCAGGTAAAATAGACTTAAGAAGTAAAGCAAACTTGATGTATCCGAGCAAAGTCAACTTAAATGAACTCAAGTTGGCTTTATAACATAAATTACCAAAGAGTTCTTACCAAAGTCCATACAAGTTGTATTAGAATCATGAAAGTGAAAAGTAAACAATTAGACAAATGCATGTGAATTAAACAACGATATGCCCATATGAACTGTAATAAACGATTTGTTATGTCATTTCAAAACTCTTCAAAGCTTTTTTGACCCGAGTAAAAACCTGGAACTGATGTGCACAAGTAAAAGTTCCACATGTTAAAGCTGCGTTCTGTGTAGTGACCAGCAGGGGGCGACTCCTCTGCTCCCATAGACGTCTATGAGGAAATGACTCTACTTCTCTGTAGTGACCAGCAGGGGGCGACTCCTCTGCTCCCATAGACGTCTATGAGGAAATGACTCTACTTCTCTGTAGTGACCAGCAGGGGGCGACTCCTCTGCTCCCATAGACGTCTATGAGGAAATGACTCTACTTCTCTGTAGTGACCAGCAGGGGGCGACTCCTCTGCTCCCATAGACGTCTATGAGGAAATGACTCTACTTCTCTGTAGTGACCAGCAGGGGGCGACTCCTCTGCTCCCATAGACGTCTATGAGGAAATGACTCTACTTCTCTGTAGTGACCAGCAGGGGGCGACTCCTCTGCTCCCATAGACGTCTATGAGGAAATGACTCTACTTCTCTGTAGTGACCAGCAGGGGGCGACTCCTCTGCTCCCATAGACGTCTATGAGGAAATGACTCTACTTCTCTCGTGATTTATTCCCTCAGTAAACATTGTAAACATGAGTTTATGGTCTCAGTCTCTAGTTTAAGTCGTCTTCAATACAGCGTGACGCTCTTGATGAGCACGATGAGTAAATTGTGGTCAATCTTGATGCTTTAGGGCGGGGCTACACGCTGATTGACAGGTCTCTGCCACAGCATTGTGCGCTCTGGTTTTTCGTCTCACAGCTTTAACCATTTCATGTGTGTCCGTTCTTGGTGAAGGTAAACAGGGACATACATGGAGATGTGAGACACGTATCAGCCAGGCTTCTCTTTCTCATCGATCAGGTGCCGGCGAGCTTGAGAAAAAAGAAATCCTCTCCCTTTCATATCCGTCGCTGGCAGACATTTATGGGCTCATGAGCAGCTGCAGCCTTCAAGGCCGTTCACACTGGAAAATCCTGTTTCCCTGTGAATGACCCAACGCGTGTCGGCTCTGCGACGCACGTTCACGTTGTGTCGTGTGTGTCGTGTGTGTGTCGTGTGTGCATTTCGCTCACAATACAAGATGGAAAACAGTGTGTTGAAAGAAGTGCTGACACACAGCGTCCGTCTGCGAGGCCTTCAGGGCCTGCAGGACTAAACCCCAAAGTGGGCTCACCACGTGACCGGCTGCATCGCTGGGGAGGGCGCGGCGTCCTCTGGGAGGAGCTGTGGAGGAAGAATGGCGGGGGGGGGGTCCGTCGTACCTGTGCTGCTGACTCACGAGAAGTAAGGCGGGACACACACTTGTGTTTGAATGTCTATAAATAGGACATGACTGATAGCAGATGTCCTCAATCCAGGACATCAGCTTATTGATTTGTATAAATGCAGCTCTTTGAACACGGGAACCACAAACCCCTCCGGACCCCCTCTCCCCTGCGGTCATGTGACAGTCGGACCTCCGGGGCTCCAGGTGAGAGTGATGGTCCTTACGATGCTCCGTTGAAGTTTAAAAGACAAACGCAGATCATCGTCTGTAAATATTAAACACAAGTTTCAGTATCTTTTCGTTTGTTTCTGTTGGTTGCCGTTTGGTTCCCCTCTGACCCAACACATCAAGGTGGGGTTGGGTGGGGTCAGGAAAGCACGTTGTGGCACCTGAGACTACACCCAACCCCGTTAAGGCGCTAAGTCATCAATAAACAACAACAAGCAGTGTTTAGCACAACAAAGAGGAGCGACCAGCGGAGGTGGAGGATGAAACGCATGAACACATGATAGTCTGCATTGTGGTTCTGTTATGCAGAGACACACACACACACACACTGTACCCGGCGGGGGCGGGGGTGGGGTGTGGGGGCAGTGGTTGGGGGGCGGTTGGGGGGGCGGTGGTGGTTGGGCGCCCATTCTTCCCTCCGATGACACGGGATGTAAAAGGACGACATGTAAAGCTCGGCCCTTTTGTCCGTGATCACCAGGATGAAATCAGTGGTCAGCAGCTGTTCACCAGATCCCGGCTGAAACTCCCCAGTTTTTGCCCCATAAGCAACGCGCTCTCGGGGGATTTTGGGAGATCACAGGAACGTCGGGGGGGGGGAGGGGCTCTGAAACAGTTCCAGTGTGCTACTTTCATTTACACCTCAGATCAAATGAACTGGTGAAAACATTTTACATTTAATGACGCATGAAAGGAAAAATACATGAAGTCAACAACTTGTGGATGGTGGTTCTGTCTGTCTCCTCACTGACCGTCTGTCTCCTCACTGACACGTCTGTCTCCTCACTGACCCGTCTGTCTCCTCACTGACACGTCTCTCTCTGCAGGGACCCGTCTGTCTCCTCACTGACCCGTCTGTCTCCACTCTGACCCGTCTGTCTCCTCACTGACCCGTCTGTCTCCTCCACCTGTCTTTTGTCTCTGTTGGAAGACACTAGAACATCTTCTTACTCACAGAAGCTGCTGTTCTGTTCTGCCCTCAAACGTCATCTCTTATTTTGATGAGAGAAAATAAAAAGTGATCCTTGTTTGACTTTTATTTATTGTAGATGATGTGATTTTAAATGATTGTTCGCGTTTCTTTTGCCTTTGAAACCGGCGATCACTTAGTGGAAGCGAATGAGGATCCGAATAAAGAAAAAAGGAAATTCACCCCAACGTTTATTGTCACATGATCTCATATTTATGACTTTCTGGGTAACCGGAAGCTCAGTTCACACTTTAAACTTTCCACACAATATAACTGCATGAATCCATTTGAAATGTGTCGGTTAAGCAACGCGGCCTCGTTACATTCTTGGTAAGTTCAAACGGATCCACAGAACTTCTTGTTAAATCCGCTGTTCTTTCGACACGTTGCTTGAGGTTGTGACATTTTCTCCCACTCGGCGATTCTTTAGTGAGCTACAATGTTGCAGCAGCGTGCACGGTCTTGCAAAGAATCTATTTCAAAACCCCCACACACACACACACACTCGCTGAGTATTGGCAGGGGTAACAGGACCTCATTCACAGGCTGCTACTGTACTTGGGGGGGGGGGGGGGGCGGGTCTTTCTGCAGGAAAGATTAGTTCAAGATTAGTTCCAAGTAAAGAAAAACCCGACTCCCACATTATCTGAAGCCGGAGTGAAGCCGCGTTTGGGGGGCTATCAGGCCGGGTGGGCCAAAGCCTGACGCCAGCTGATAGTGCTGCTGGTGGCTCACTCCCAGAAGAACGGCATCCCTCAGGGGGCCGGCTGGGCTCCTGGAGGAGACCCCCGGGGTGGGAACGAGCAACCAGCTGGAGGAACTGGAGTTCTCAACATGGTTGTCCTACTAACATTTACACTCTGAAACAAATCCACGAAGCCAGCTGCTCACACAGGAATGTGCCGCCATCTAGTGGCCACGTGTGCGAATGTGTCTCCAACGCGCGATGTCCCGCGGGGCGTCTCCATGAACGGGCCTGTGGTATGAACACAGAGACACAAGAGACGCACCAACAAGCCCGCACCCACTGCTACAACTCACCCACGGTCACGTGACAGCGCCGTGCCACATGCTCGGACACGGCGGGCCCGGGCGGGCGGGGCCTCTGCGAACGCGCCCCGTCCTCCGGGCCCGCCGGGGGAGTTCCGTTCTTCTTCGGCTCAGAGAAGATGTCCCTGAGCGGCAAATCCGCGGTGGTGACCGGGGCGGCGATGGGCATCGGGAGAGCCATCACGGAGGTTCTCCTGCAGAACGGCGCCAAGGTAAAGGTGTGACCCAGTGGCCGCATCTGGACAGTTGTTTTCTGATACATTTCAATGCCAGTGCGTGTTTCACACACATCAGGGGGAAACCTAACGAACACCGGCATGTGCAGGTCGCCCTCCTGGATGTGGACGAGACCGCGGGAAGGAGTCTGAAGGAGGTCCTCGACAGGGAGTACCCGCCGGAGAGAACCCTGTTCCTCAGCTGTGACGTGGAGTCGGAGGAGCAGATTAAAGGTGAGGCAAACTCACAAACAGCTGTGGGGGAGGGGACACATCTGGATGGCTCTCTGTGATGTTGTTGTTCCAGTTTCCAGGTGTTGGATGATGTCGAGATCCACAGTTAGAATCACAGCCGTTTAACCAGAAAAGGCATTTCCTGCTGAAAGTGCGTTGGAATGCAAAAAGCTGAAAGCTGAACTGAATATTTAAAAATAGCTGAAAATACAGAAAGTTGAAGGGAATTTGAATACATCTGCTGAAATTACAGATATTAGAAAAGCTGAAATTAATTTGAAATTGCTGAAAATACAGAAATGGGAGAAGGTTACGGTACAGATAATCATTGAGGCTTTTATTTTGTAATGATGGAATTGGGTGAGGGGGGGCGAGTGTCTTCATCATGTTGGTCTGTTGACAGAAAGCATAGCTGCGTCATGTGACTCCACTGATCAGGTCATAGGAGCAGCTGTGAGCCACACACAGAGATCCTGTGTAACTCGCTGTCGTGTCTCTGCCCTTTGCAGCAGCTCGTCAATGAGCCCAGGTGCGCCGTTGCCGTGGTTACTCGCGGAATGCTTAATGCATTCCAACAATTACAGTCAGCCACGTGCACTGACAGATCCCCAGAGGGGCCCTCTGGTCCTGGATGAGAAAGGCGTCCCATCTGCTGGAGCACAACTTTCCTTCATTAATCAATATACAAGAATAAAAATGACTCTCATCAATTCCCCCCAAATGTGTTTTAATATCTGACCGACGTGCTCCGCGGCGCTCACAAGCCCCGCCCCTCCTCCTCCTCCTCCTCCTCCTCCTCCTCGTGCTCGTGCACGACGGTGTTTGTGCAAATCCCCGAGTTCGGTGATGAATTCACATCGTCACATCACATCGAGAGATACAGACGGAGGATTTAAAGGCAGTTTTACTGCTCTACGATTCATTGAGTCAGTTAACACATTTGTTTTCTCATTCAAAGCTTCTATCGAGGTTTTTAGGAAGCTTCACATATTTAATGTCACCATCACACCACAAAAACATGTGATTCCATTAATCAAAGGTACGAGCCGCCACCACAGCAAATCTTTTTACTTCGCTTCTTCGAAGTAGGGTGCGAAAGAAAAGGGTTTAAAACGCTGGACCGGGTTGAAGACCACCGCTTCTCTCTCTGCTGTCCAGCCGCCCTGCAGGAAACCGCGGAGACCTTCGGAGGCATCGACATCATGTGCAACAACGCCGGCATCCTGAACGAGGCGGCGTGGGAGAAGGCCGTCTCCATCAACATGGTCAGTGGGGCGGGGGGTCTTTTGCAGCGTCACAAATATGCAGTTTAAATAAGGAAGAGCCAAAGTTACCCATACGGGGGGGCCCACCGGACACAAGTTGACCGAACCGCCATGTCCTTGGTCTTTCGGCGGTGGGGACGTGGATGGGATGAGGGTTTGAAGCCGGGACCCTCTGGCTGTGAGGCGTAACGGACTGTGCTGTGCGTGCCGCAGATGGGGGTCATCAGGGGGACGTACCTGGCGCTGGAGCACATGAGCAAGCTGAGCGGAGGTCGTGGAGGGGTCATCGTCAACATGGCGTCCATGGCGGGTAAAGACCGACGCGCACCGCGGCGTAAATACCACAAACAAAAGCCTGATGCGTACTGTGGTCCCCGACGCACACTAACGCCGACTGAGTTAACCATAACCCCCCCCCCTGCACCCCCCCTGCAGGTCTCGGCCCTCTACCAAGCTGCCCGGTTTACAGGCCACTAAGCACGGGGTGGTCGGCTTCACGCGGGCATTGCGGTAAGGGCCAGTAACTTCTTTCACTACACCGTCAGCTCATCCCGCTAACTGGCTACTAAGAGCTGCAGCGGCTGATTGGGGGTGGTGGGGGCGAAGGGGGGTGAAGGGGGGAGGGTAATCTCCTCGTTACTCAGTGACCTCAGACTCGATTTCTCTCAGGCACATTATCCACTGATTTCCACCACATTTGGTACTTGTGTGATCACATGACCGGGACACCTTTGCTTTCATTCTGCCTCTGAGCGTGCAAAGCATCATTGCGCGTGCGTGTGTGTGTTTGTGCGTGTGTGTGCGCGTGTGTGTCCGTCTTTAAACAGGCCGCTTCCACAGCGTCCGGCTACGGCGTGCGCGTCAACGTCCTCTGCCCCGGGTTCGTCGAAACGGATCTCTTCTCCGCGGTGAAGACCAACCTGGGGCGCTTCTCCCACATGGGCGACGCCACCGAGCAGCTCATGCAGCACCTGGGGGTCATAAGGTCAGTCTGGGCCGGGGCTCTTCGAAGGTGGAACGAGGACGCAGAGCTCCGGGACCAGAAGACACTCGTGTTTATCAGTGTGCATCAACCACGAGTTAATAAAAGAAATCTGATTTTCTGAGAATTTTGAGTTAGCATGAGCTTATTACGAACTCAGATGACATCGATCCTGATTCCTTTGTGTGTTAGCTTTAGCGCTGCGCTAACTGTCTGTTAAATGGTAAAAGAGGATAGAATATTCAGCCTGGTGTCACATCGGAGCACAGAAACCAAAGAATATTGACATAAGAGTTTCCATCTACTGTACCAGACACAGTTTGGATGCACCGTCCCGTTTGACAACAATTATTGTTACAACTACCAAATGAATATTTTCACAATCTAAGCTTCAAACGGGCAACGTCATATTTGACGTCGTCCCCCTACGGCCCAAATATTTGTGTGGTGCCGTCTTTTTAAGACGGACGTCTTCCTCCCGTCGTCTGACACGCCGTGTTAAGAAAAGGACTAAACGCGGTTTTGAAACAGAACATTGTGAGATAAGCGCACGTTGCAGAATCCCTTCTGTTGTGTTTAACCTAATTCTTTTCCTGCGACTCCTCCGTCCCAGTGTGTCCGACGTGGCGCAGTCCGTCCTGGAGATGGTGACGGACGAGACGCTGAGCGGACGGGCCTGCTGCTTGTCGCCGAGAGGACGGGAATACGTGGACTTCCCTTCCTTCGCCCAGTGACCAGCGGTGTCGCTCTGCTGCCACGCAGCGACGACTTAAGTTGTCCGTCGTAAAAGGGACACTTTGACCTCTTTGTTGCTTTTCTGGGCCGTCCCACTGATGTCATTTCAATGTCACTGAACGTTCTGTGCTTTATTATCTTGCGGGTGGATTTTTTAATAAAGCCCTTCGCTCAGAACAATGTGGTTTGACCGTAGTCTCTATTTTAGTCTTTGAAGAGTCCTGCAGGAGAAACAATCAGTTACTGAGAGACATCATGTTCCTGCAGCTGCACGAACTAAAGACATTGTAACTTCTGTTACCTTTTGTTGATACTCAAGTAGCAGAAGAAGACTTAAAAAAGTCCCTCATTCGGAATGAAATATACATAATAAAGAGCCTCAGTACTCATTGTGCAGTGTTTTACTTTTGGAACATTTGCTGTATTTAGTTCACAAGAAGTACATTAAAGTGGAGTAAAAATACAACACGTGAACACCACAGGCCAAAGATACAAGACGTGTCAATAAACATTTAATAGGAAAAACAGAACAGATAGCAGTCATTGGATTACAAGATTATATATAAAATAATGCATTACATTTAACTGAGATGAATATTATCGGTTGTGATCATGTTACAAAGCTTTGCATTTATAGACACGTGCAGTTTATACATTTCATGAACAACTTTACTGCATGTTCAGATCAGTTGTGTTTAAGCTGAAAGCAATGAATATCCTGCGGGTTGTAGTCTGCTGCCGGCTATAAAACTCAGGTGAACACAGGAAACTTCATGTATTTCTGGGAGCTGCACATCACCTGTAAAGCCTCTCCGTTCTTGGTGTCGTTGGTCAGCAGCTCCAGGAGGCCCTCGGCCACCTCGGAGGTCCTGAAACACAGAGTACAGGAATCATTTCCTCCGGCTGCTTATCGGGAACAAGCCCGTCGGTTTGTGGACTTTAAGCCTTTAAGTCGGCCTCCATCTTTTTTACAACCAAAAGTGAGGGAGGCTAAAGTTTAACGTGAGGGCGACGGTGCGCCGGGAAGCACAAGGTTGGCAATTCGAACCCCGGCTGCTCCATGTCCCATGTTGAAGTGTCTCTGAGCAAGACACCTACCCCCTACCTGCTCCCCGGGCAAAAAAAATAAAAATGTAAAAAGCTATGACTTAAAATGCAAGTCGCTTTGGATAAACGCGTCAGCTAAATGACCTGTAATGTCTGCTTCATGCTCCGTTTCTGTGTTGAAGACTTGAAACTAGAGACTGAGACCATAAACTCGTGTTTACAACGTTTACTGAGGGAATAAATCAAGAGAGAAGTAGAGTCATTTCCTCATAGACGTCTATGGGAGCAGAGGAGTCGCCCCCTGCTGGTCACTACAGAGAAGTAGAGTCATTTCCTCATAGACGTCTATGGGAGCAGAGGAGTCGCCCCCTGCTGGTCACTACAGAGAAGTAGAGTCATTTCCTCATAGACGTCTATGGGAGCAGAGGAGTCGCCCCCTGCTGGTCACAACACATGAATGCAGCTTTAACACAAGCACAAAATACTGAACTCACTTCAACACCCCTTTGTCCACAAACACTTGGGTCTCAGCAGACAGCTGGGAGAATTGTCCCAATCGTTCGTAAATGTTGTCCAAGATGTCCGTTTGGACAAAGCCCGGACAAAGGGCGTTGAACCGTATACCGAAGCCCAAGGCGGTGGAGTTAGCCTGGCAAACAAAAGACAGTCAGGTTTCCAGGTTCCTCTGAGGAAACACGCAGAGAATCAAAAAAGCTCCGTACTGCTCATTTAGAGTCACCGTCTTATCCTGGTTGATGAATGAAAGGTCAGAAAGAAAAGCAGAAAGTTCCAACCAGGCCGACACGGTTTTGATGAAGATGAGCGACACCACGCACGGTTAGTCATGTTCTCATTAATGTCAGCAGACCACACATTGGGTGACTGAATCTAGTGTTGCGGTTCGGCTGAATTCTTACAGATGAACACGTAATCAACGTATAAAGCGAGTATATAGAGAATAAGAGAAGGAAAGAGGTCATTGTGAGAACGCCATCCTCACCGCCATGGCCCGGGTGAAGCCGACCACCCCGTACTTGGTGGCAGTGTACACCGGGCAGCTCAGTAAAGGGAAGAGACCTGCGGGGGGGAATTAGGGTTAAATCAGTCAACGTTTCGGTGACACGCTTTCAGTGTCGCCCTTAAAAACAATCACGCCACCTCACGAGATCGCTTAAATGTTCCATTTGAGACAAAATATTTCACAACAGCAAAAGAAGCAAAAGATGGGATGGTGAAAAACTACCGTAGGCCTGCGCACATCATACCATGAGTGGATTAATAACTAAATAAGTGAATCAATAACTTGAGTAACACTGCGGTGCGTTGTGGGTCGTACCCGCCATGGACGCGGTGTTGATGATGACCCCTCCCCGACCTCCGCTCATCTTGTTCATGTGCTCCAGAGCGATGTAGGTTACCCGGACAACCGCCACCTGCACAGGGGCACGCGGGGTTAAGGACGGGACGGGACGGGACTAGAAGACTTTGGTGTGGGTCAATCAGGGGGTCAGACCAGGTTTACGGAGATGGTCTTCTCCCACTCGGCCTCGTTCAGGACGCCAGCGTTGTTGCACACGATGTCCACCGCCCCCAAAGCTCCAGCAGTCCTCTGAAAGGCAGCTTGAGAGCAGAGAAACTTCTAACTTGCAGTCAAGTTGGACTGAAAAAATAACTGTTAACATGGTCGGTAAGTACGGGGGTCTGATGGGACGCAATAACTGCAAATGCACACAGAACATCCACGATGCAACGTGTTGTAACGTCAACAGTAATTTACAAGTCGAACATAATCAGCGTTAATCACGCACGCCATGAAACATTAAACGCGTTTCACTTCATGGTGCGTTCAAAAGCCAGTAGATTCCATGTAAAGTCAATGCACAGACGCGTCTGGTCGCACCTGAACACGCCTGCTGACTTCCACCTGTTGCGTCGCTGAATCGCTGAAGGCTCGAGGGATCTATGGAACACGACGGCGGCATCTGATTGGCTGCAGATGATTGAATGTTGAATTTGCATTCGTGGGTCGTTTTGTGTGCATTTGCAAATATTAAACGGATGTGACCGCGTAGGTAAGTGAGTCATGAGCATCTACTTCCAAGTGTAAGTGTGTGTGTGTGTGTGTGTGTGTGTGTCACCTCTAATCTGCTCCTCTGATTCAACATCACAGCTGAGGAACAGAGTTCTCTCCGGTCCGTGCTGCTTGTCGAGGACTTCCTTCAAACTCTTCCCTGCCGCCTCATTCACGTCCAGGAGGGCTACCTGCACAGGTGGAAGACCACCAGATTTACGTCTAAAAATAACAAATCTTCCCTCTACATAAATTCGACATTAACTGCCCGTTATATGTGGACTCCTAAGGCCACAGAACTAAACGTGTATCCTTGCACGAGGTGTGCTCCTCGTACCTTGGCGCCGTTCCGCAGGAGTATCTCCGCCATGGCTCTGCCGATCCCCTGCACCGCTCCGGTCACCACCGCGACTTGGTCCTGCAGCGCCATGTGAGGAGGAGGTGGAGGGCGGAGGCCTTTAAAGGCGACGCGGCCCGTTGATTGGATCGCTGCAGTCACGTGACTGTCCATGCGCTCCCGGCCCGAGTATGAACGTCTTTCAGCCTGTTGTTTAATCGCAGGTCACATTTGAGTCTCAGCCGCTTTATTAACAACATAACAATGTTGGTTGGATGCAGCTGGTGTCCGTTTCAACTAGCGGGTTTAGTGTAAACTTTTTGTTTGTGAGTTTGTTCACCCTGAGATGAGAGAAACTCTGGCTTGTCTGTTTCACAAAGGCAGGTAACTAAAGTTCAGGGTCAGTCACCATGCTAACTAAAGCTCAGGGTCAGTCACCATGGTAACTAAAGTTCAGGGTCAGTCACCATGGTAACTAAAGTTCAGGGTCAGTCACCATGGTAACTGAGCCTGTGAACATCACCTGGTCTTGAATCTAATCTAATCTGGTCGGGAGCAGGTTATCTTTCTCCTTCCACAGGCTCCTCCCTCTGACAGCAGCCCAGCCAATCACACAGCGGGCTTTACTTTCCTCATTCATTCATTCAATCTGTGTCAGTTTACACATATGAACTAAATAAGAAATAAGATGTCACGTCCTTTTCTGGACGACCCTGCGCTGCGCTGGAAATACGCTATGTCCCTGAACGCACCATCTCATGTGGTTTCCGTAGTGTAGTGGTTATCACGTTCGCCTCACACGCGAAAGGTCCCCGGTTCGAGACCGGGCGGAAACACATTTTGATGTCTTTTTCTTTTAATCCGGCGTGATGCTTTGTTTTTGTGCGTGAATGCCATACGGAGCTGGATATACTCTATGTCCCTGAACGCACCATCTCACGTGGTCTCACGCCTTTGTATTGATCTTTTTTTACTGAATAAACACAACACTTCTAAAAAGTCCCAAACATTTTATTTCTTTAGTGTCACTTCACCTTAATAATTATACTAAAATCATCCGCATTTCTTCAGCTTTATTCAATGTAGTATTTTTCAATATACAAGTATCTTTATGAATGATTAAAAGATCACAATGGCTTTGTTATGTCCGTGTTAAAGAATTTTCCATATCCTATTATATTAAAATATTTCATATATAGAGTCAGTATTTAAACAGGGGTTTAATAATAAAAAGTGACTTCCCATACAAGGGAATCATAGAATTTGAAGTCTCATAAATTATTAGATCGGAGAAGAAAACCAACAGAACCGCGTCGCCGTTGGATGTGTTGTGAATGTCCAAAAAAAGGAATAAAAAAAAAAAAAAAAATCAAACGACGTTTGTGAAGGACACATCGGACCGATGAATCCACACATTTGACAAAAGCCTACGGATTATTCTTTTCTTCGACACACAATTATAATGACTGAGAAAGTTGTAGAAAAAAAACAGAAGCACAGGTCCTGTCCTTGGGTTGGATATGAGGAGTCGCTGGAGGTCACGTGACGCTCTATAACAGTCTTAAGTGCAGACATCCCAACGCAAATCACACATCAGGATTTAGTAAAAGACAGAACACGCTTCAGTTTGTGTTCAATCTGAAGGATCAGTAAGACAGCATTGTTCTATGAGAATAAACACCGATTCATTCAATCCTGGACGTACATGAATACCATCGCCATCTTAGACTCCTCCCCCTCATTATGCCTTCAAAACCTGTAAAGATTAAGCTTCAACATTGCTTTGATGTGTCCTTCCTCCCGCCAGGTGATTGAGAGGGTGGACAGAAGGTCTCAAGTCTCGCACGCACACGCACACGCACACGCTTCAGCGTCTCCACAGTCCCACTGGAGATTATTTGGAGATTTGCTGCTGGAGGTGGAGCAGGAACTCATAGTACGACAGGGCCGACTCCGTCCGGTCCTCGATCATGTTCTGCATGAACGTGGGCTTCAGCTGGCTCTCGTCCCTGAGAGGGTCAAAGGTCACAGGGTAAAGAGAAGTCCTCCCATTTCAACGTGCTGAGAGCACGTGGTGGGTCCTAGAATACACAGACCGTATGAAGCCCACTAAACCGGCCTGCGCAGCAGAGCCTTCAGTGTTCCTATACCATCAGAGGGGGGCTCGACAGAAGGACACCCACCTGATGACATGCAGCGGGGGGAAGAACGGCCTCTGGTCCCTCAGCCAGCCGATGAAAGCTCTGGTTCTCTGCGACTCGGCCGTGTCCAGCTCGGGGAGCAGATGCAGGTTGTCGGGCACGGCGGCGTAGCTGGAGACTCCCAGGACCTGCGTGAGGAAGGCCGGCTGGCAGCTCCGTCCCACCCACAGGTACATCACCTTCAGGAGCAGGAGAGGTGCATTTAACAACAAACGTTTGCGGGCTCTGGAGATGCCAGAGAGGTACGAACGGTGAACATCTCGGGCGCTCCTTCACACCGTTCCGGCGTCCATGAGGAACGCGGCCTCCCTGCTGAGCTTCTCCACGGACAGCTGCAGCACCCGGGGCTGTGGGACAGTCCGCTCGTTGATGTTCAGAGCGCCCTGAGGACGAGGGGACGAGACATTTGAGGGTCATTCCTACAAACTACACCCGTGATCCCGACGCGGAACTTCCCGGCCCCCTCCTCACCTCGTCGCTGAGGTCGTCCACGCGGTACAGAGCCGGGTGGATCATCAGCATGGAGTAGACCAGCGGCTGGTACTTCAGCTGACACATAGCGAACAAGCGGTCGTCCAGCCTGGTGCTGGTGCCCGTCCTGAAGGCTTTCTGCGGGGCAGAGGGGGGGGGAAATCATAGAAAAGCTTTCCTCCTGAGACCTGGCCCATCAGAGTGGACTGGGGGCGGTTCTGACCTGTTTGAGCAGCGCGAGGATGAAGAGGGGGAAGAGTCGGAGGCAAGCCGGCGCCAGCAGGCCGGGCTGCTGGATGCTCAGCACCGACTGGCGGTACGACGCCAGCGAGTCGATGGCGGCGTTGGTCATCGCGTCTCTGGCATCGCTCAGGCTGGCCGTCGCCGAGCGGTCCACAGCTGGGAAGAGGAGGGAGGCATTAGAAAACATCTGTCAACATCAGCGCTCACTTCATGCTGTTTTCTTCTTCGCTTTAATTCACGTCAGTTTCTGCTCCCTGACGTGAATGAAGAAGAAGACAAACACAAAGTGGCCGGTGTCGGATCCTTCGGATTTTTTTAAAGCGAAACAACTGGAGGAGGTCTGAGCTCACATTGAACCGGATTCTAAAACGTATGAGCAGGACTACGCGACATTAATAGTCTTAAACCTTTGAATCAGGGGGTTTACATTCACATCTGTCTCACCCATGCAAGCCAGCAGTCCAGTGATGGCCTGAACATCAGCTCCAGCAAAGATGTCTGACAGAGAGTTGACCACAGGGAGACACAAGGTGTGGACACGGATCCTCCGCTCTCCTGCAAGACGAAACCAAGGGTATCAAGAACAAAGAGGTCTCTCAACGTGTGTGTGTGTGTGTGCGCGCGTACACACACACACCTTTGCTGGATGTGTACAGCAGCGCGGCCTGGAAGGAGACGATCTGCATGTCGTCCAGGTTTTCCTCGATGGACATTTGGACGGCAAAGCCGGCGTCCGGATTCACGTTGGGGAGGGACAGCAGGTCCGTGGAGCGCACAAAGAAGTTCCCGTGGAAGGTGTGGATGGACATTCCTGCAGGGAGGGGGGGGGCATGCGCCCGCAAGAAATCAAACGTTAAACGGAACAATACATGTGAAAATATATTATATATATATATATATATATATTATATATTATATATATATATTATATATATATATGGCTGCTCGTCGAACCTTTGCTGCAGCGTATCCTCATGACGGCCTCGAAGCCGATCTTCCTGGTCAGGTACCTCTTCAGATCCCTCTGGAAGCACTCCACCTGGGCGGGGTTATGCTGGTGGTGGTAGGAGGGGTAGTAGTAGACGCTCCCTGCAGAGTACCTGGAAATGCAGCCTGGCAGAGAGACAGAAACCCGACATGTTCAGTTTCTCTAATGCAACAAGGAAAACACACTTCCTGTATCCAGCGTTTGGCCTCCAGGCTCCATTAATAACGCCAGTTTCCAGCCATTATTTACTGACTGATGAATTCACTCATTGGGTGATCTTTTTGTAGACATGAGCTCCAGCAGTGCTCCTGTGCTCACCCAGCGATGCCAGGTCGCAGTACTGAGAGCTGAGCAGGAACAGGTCCACCGCCACCTGCTGTCCGGAGCAGTCCAGAGCCAGCTTCTTGTAGAAGTCAGTGGCTGGGGACAGGTGCTGGACGTCCTGGAGGCGAGGGGGAATTCACGGGCGTAAGCTCAAGATTAACATTTTCCCACACAAATGGATCTTTAGAGTCAGATTTCAATGCTGGGTGGGATCACAGATGTTCTCCTCTGTGAAAATGGCATCATCTACTCCCCAAACCAACAAACCCTTCCATATATGGGGCCTCTCACCTTGGCAGAAGCCCTCTGGTTGGGGTCTTCTCTGGACTGCAGCGCCCCCACCCCGAGGTTAGGCAGCTGGGTCTGAAAGACGGACATGCGCCCGCCGGTGGGCAGCAGCAGCTTGTAGGCCGCCTGCAGGGCCGAACCCAGGGCAGACTGGGTCTCCATGGTCTTCTGGAACAACGTGGGGAGGCTCTTCAGCAGGTCCTGCACCAGCTGAGGACGCAGAAGGAGCGAGTTTGACTTCTGGGACGCTTCGTTGGTCATATATCATCTTTCTCCCACATGCGAGGAGGTGAGAGCGGCCACAGGGGGCGACGCATGGCCGAGCTTAAGAGGTACGTAAAGTGTTCTTACTTCTTTGCATTCGTTGAGGTTTACTAGAAGGCTGTCTGGTGTTGGTAAAAAGATATCTGAGGAGTACACAAAATATCATTTAAAAAAATTGATTGCCGCTATTTGTGGTGCAGTGAAACATATTTCACACTTTTTAAATTGAAGTGTTCCCGTCGGCGGCCGGCTCACCGTCGATGTCGGACACGATGAGCATCTGAGGCTGAGAGAGACCCTCCTGGAGGTTGTAGAAGTGGATGGTGCTGTCGAAGGTGACGAAGCCGA